AATTATAAATATTTCATAAAATTATTACCAATAAATTCAGCAAGATAAAAACAATACCCACTCAAAATCAATGATAAAATATAAATTACATTTTGTATGTGTTTTTTTCATTAATATAATGAATTTTAATACAAAACAATTACGAACACTTAAGTACAGATACAATTTTACGAATTAATGATACATATACTTCAATTAATTTAATTTTYAATTTTAATCCGTTAATTCAAAATATCAATTTTTCAGTCTATTATTACGTTAGCTACTGCGTTTTATGTGGATGAGAGAGGAGTGTGTTACGTATTTAATATTGAATTAAAAAAATCATAAATATTTACCATACGAATCTAAAGAAAAATGTAATTAAATTATTATTAGTGTGTAAAGTAGTATTATGTTTAKAACTTATTAAAACTTTTAAATGATTTGACGAGACGTAAAATCGTGTTTGTTTTAGAGTAAATCAATAAATCCGAGATCAGCTATGCGTCAGATGTGGTCACATCCTCCGATATATGCAGATTTTAAAATTTATTTGTTCAACGTAACTAATCCTGAAGAAGCCCAGAAGGGTGAAAAAATTATAATCAAAGAAGTTGGGCCTTATGTTTATCAGTAAGCTTTTGCAATTATATTTCACATTAATTGAATCAGCGAACGCATTACAACGTACATTTTGTAATTWAGCGAATGGAAAGAAAAAGAAAATTTAATCGACGATATGGATGCAGACACAGTTGAGTTTAGTTTCAAAAATACTTTTATTTTTGATGAAATGTCGACACTACCATTAACTGGAGATGAAATTATAGTTATGCCTCATTTGGCTATGATAGTATGTTCAATGTTATATTATATAATCGTAATATTACTTTGTGAAATAAAATATTTATTTTATTAAATAGGTAATTATRATTATATAGTTCTAGCAATATACTTATTATACACGAATATCACTTTGTAATGCTATTTAAATGTTTGATTTTTGAAAATATGTTTGCTAATAATATATAGGTGCTTAAGCGGTATTCTAAATAGACTATATTCATATATAGTTATTAAATAATTAATTTAAATTAAAATTATTCTCATATAGTTAAATTATGACTTTGTGTAGGGAATGGTAACAATGACTAAGATGATGAAACCAGCCGCACTGGGTTTGGTAAATAAAGCAATTCCTTTCTTGTATCCAGATCAAACTAGTGTATTTATGATGGGAACCGCTAATGATATCATGTGGAATGGATTGGATATAAATTGCACTTCCAGAGAGTTTGCAGCCGTTGCTATTTGTACACAGATAAGACAAAATTCAGCGAGCCTACACAAAATCAGCAATGAACATTTCAAATTTTCATTATTCGGAGTGGTACAGTATTATTTTATCATTGAAACATATGACTGTATGGTTTGTATGTATAATACTTAAAGGATAAACCTATAGTTTTCGTGCCAAGAGTACCTATGAGGTGAGAGGTTTTTTTTTTAAATTTTAAATCGAGAACTCTGCCACCTAATGTCTAACTGGTACAACAAATGGCGTATCAAAATAAACCAAAACAAATCAAGTCACACTACATTTACTCTCAAGAAGGGCATTTGTCCAACTGTCTCATTAAATAACATCCCAATCCCCACATCGGACACAATAAAATACCTGGGACTYAATCTTGATAAACAACTAACATGGAAAAATCATATACGAACCAAAAGACTGACTCTCAACGCCCGAATGCGCATCCTCAACCCTCTAATAACGAGAAATAATAAAACAAATCTGAAAACCAAACTTCTAATTTACAAAACCCTCCTAAAACCTATTTGGACTTATGGCATTCAGCTCTGGGGCTCAGCAAAAAAATCCAATACCAATAAAATCCAAGTATTCCAAAACCTAGCTCTTCGTCGTCTGTCCAATGCACCACCCATACGTCTCTAACCTAACATTGCATAATGATTTTCACTTAAAAACCATCAATGAAGAAGCTCAATCATTTTACTTGCGCTTCCGCACACGACTTCTATCCCACCAAAATCCTTTTATTAAAAACCTCTCCTCTCTAACCCTCCCAGGGAATCTAAGGCGCAGGCTAAAAAGTAAATGGTGCCGTGACCTACTAAAATTATAAATTTAAAATTTACTTTGTTCATTGCATGTATATATTCATTTAATCTCAACATGAGGAAAAATAAATAAATAAAAAAAAATAAAATAAAAACAAAACATAAATATAAATAAATCATGCTAAGTGTTGCCAGTGGATGGCTTCTTATTCAATTTTTCATGCCATGTATTCTCTTAACACATAAGCTTATTGTACATTTCTTGTATAGATTGTTTATTTTTCTAATAAATATTTAAAAAAAAAAAAACGAGAACTCGGCCATTAGTTATGGTAATCATACAATGGTTACAGGTATGTTTAAAAGGATGTTGCATTTAATTTAAAATAGTAGGGTGTCAAATATTGTTAAGAAAACACCTAATTAATATAATTATACTATTATAGTTATGACAACTTGCAATATTTACACATGGAGTAATAAAATAAAATTTAGTATAAAAAGCGTTATAGCATATAAAAAAAGGGGACATATTATTAAATTAAATTATAAAGTTCCAATGCTTTTAAAAATTCGATCATTTTTAAGTAGTTTTCGGTTTTGAGTCCAATTGCTGTGTCAATGCCCAAGGGTCTCGTCAATTTTGATTGAATGTCAGACACTTTCGTATTTTAATCATTCAGTTGCAATATTTTTCGTCACGAGTCTGACATCGCAGACAACAACCATGATTTGGGAGCTTCTTCTCTTGCCATTAGGTGAAAGTTTTATTTAACGTCAGCCATCAGTACAGATTTTGTAATTATTTAGTTTTATCTCTCTAATAAGTTCTATCACTTCGTATCATCTTCGTATAAACTTTCGATGTTCTATTATGGCGAATGGATGGCCTAAAAGGTTGAGCAACAAGTTTAAAAAAAATAAAAAATAGTAACAATAATATCAATGCCCAATCGTTTTTACTTACGATGGGTTTCATTGGAATATAGCAGCGCGTTTACTATACCTGCGGAAATCCATGTAGCATTCATCATTTTAAGCAGCTGTTCGCCGTCACTTAAAATAGTTATTGCGTTTTTTTGGTCCAGAAAAACGGAACCATCGAGAGCAATCGTTATACAGTGAAACGCGCCTACACTTCGCCAGCGACGGAAGTTGGCCAGGTGATCCGATTCAACGACAAACACAAAATGGACGTGTGGCCTGGTGACGAATGCAACAAGATATACGGGACAGACACCACGATATTTCAACCGTTCATTACAAAGGACACCAACCTGGCCAGCTTTAGCGGTGATATTTGTCGGTGCAGTGTACTTACGTTATATATTATACATATTATAGGTCACACATATACGCATCTTGAAATAAAACATTTTATGTTTACACTAACTATTAACATAAAAGTATCCGGGAAATATTTCACTAGAATCGAACATTTAAAAATATGAGCTTCACRTACATAATGCAACAATGTCTGTTACGGACAAACTGATAAATTATATTTAGAATTTTTCTTCTACACTTCAATATTTTTTTATGCCTCTTACGTGATTTATCTAGTTAAAATAGTATCAAATAATTAACACATCCCTACCTACTGTAATACCTTAACTTTAAGTTGTTTCTAGTTTTTATATATTTTTACACTCTTATATATATTTGGTAATACAGTAAATCTTCGTTTAATTCCGAAGTTGGCTCATAAGTGAGATAATAATATTTGAATTAATAGTATGGCACAGGTAACAGAAACTATATACCATTTTTGTACACATAAGTTGATTTTTTTTTCGATTTGGGAGTTGAAATGTAAATTATTATTATTCAAAACATTTTCAAATTTATTTTCTTTGTTAATGTCCTAGCTTATTTCTATTTAGCTTCGTTTTTAATTTCTGCTTTAGCTTTGAAAACAAATGTTTTTAATTTTTTTTTTTTTTAGGGTTAGGGCTTTAACAACTGATGTCATTAGCTTGGGGAACTGTAGAAGAAGGTACTGTAGGTTTTAACGCGTGGGCTTTTGGCAGAATTTTGAATGGGCACCCGTAGGTTTCTGCCATGCCCGGTCGGGGGGGGGGGCTCTCTCTCTAGACACCGCGAAATTCCCAAAGAGCGATGCCGCCCGTGACCGAGATTCGAACCGGCGACTGCGTGCGTCGCAACCGACGCCTTGGTCCACTCGGTCACTCCACCACCGATGTTTTTATTTTGTTTTTTTAATGATACAAAGATTAATACAAAATATGTATTAATTTAATTTCTATTAAAATGGAATAAACCCAATATTTTGTTGTGAAACTATTAACTTATAATTAAAATTATTATTAATGTTTACTTGGTTTAAAATATTACTATGCCTTTATAAAATTGTTTCAATCGTTTTTGTAGATCATTGGTTCCCGACTATGTACGAGAAACAAAATATAATGGATTAAATGTATTTGAGTATTCGGCCATTTTAGTAAAACCAGAGGAAAAATGTTTTTGTCTGAATCAAAAAAAATGTTTAAAACCTGGAGCATTGGATTTGACAAACTGTTCAGGTCAGTATTTTTTATGTTGTTATATACTACAATTTTCCCTTAAAATTTTTAAATGTCTGAATATAGATTTCAAATATATTATAATAGATACTTAACAGTTCATTAAAAATAAAATTTTAGAAGCTGTAATACAATTAATTATTGTGTTATACTGCAGGTTCGCCTATAATTGCAACTCTTCCTCATTTTTATAAATCCGAAGACTATCTGAACAATGTTGATGGACTAAGCCCTAACGTTGAAAAACATAAAATTCAAATGTACTTTGAACCTGTAAGTTGATTTTATTTGCACTTTATCCATATGACCGAATAACAAAAAGTGTAAATTGTGAGTAAACACTACCTATACCTCTTAACACTACCAACCTAATTGTATTCTATTGATAGTACCGATTATATCATACAATTTAATGATATTTTTTGTTCAGATGACTGGTTCTCCGTTATTGGGTTACAAACGTTTACAGTTCAATATGTTTTTGAAGAAAGAATCAAAAATAAACGTTATGAAAACGCTCAATGAAGATGAGAAACTAATACCACTGTTTTGGGTTGAAGAGGTGAATTAATTAATTAATCAGAAATTATAATACACTTAAATTGAACTTAAGTTGTACAACTTTCGTCTAGTAAATATAATCTAGATTAACAACTTATCCCTATGATGAATATATTTAATGACTTTCCTCTCAGAATATGTTTTACAAGTAATTATGCATTTATTAAAACTTGTTCATACAATTACAGGGAATTGCTTTAAATAAGACGTGGACTAATCAAATAAAAAATAAATTATACTTGCCAATTACCATCATAAAATACGTTAAATACATATTTGTGATTTTTGGTATTGTGTTCATCATATTGGCAGTGGTCATCAACTACAATAGTGTTAAGACAATGGAAGTCACACCAAAATATTAGAATTCAATGATCGTGAAAAACAATTTTTGAAATACTTTATATTAAAATAGATCTCACAGAAGTAAAGATATTTTTGTTTTTGTATATTATGAATAGATTCACTTTGTAAATATATTTTTAGTTTCGTTGGCTTAGAGAAATAATTAATAATATTCTATTAATAACCAACTATACATTTAACTTTTAATATATTTTATTTTAAAAACATGTACTCTTGAAATTGAGCATACTATAAGATACAAATAGGAACACAATGTTCACATGTATAAATACAACATACTTCTAATATATTATTTTCAAGGTAAACCTACTTGTAATACATACCACTCATTAATGAACTATTAAGTAAATTAAAATTTTTTTTTTAAAGGTATTTAGTAGAATTGCATAATATATTCTATTGTATATTATTAAATTAATATTATCAATATCCTAGTAATATAATTATAATTTTCTAAGGTTCAAACTAGACATAAAGTTATTACTAGATTGTAGTTCATATAATAAAATTGTTTGTATCAATAAATATATATAAATAAAGTATCAGTATACGTATACAATATTAATCTACTTCTATTAATAATTATATTATTATGTATGGGTTATTATAAAAACCTTCAAAAATGAGGGTATAAAAATATTTCACTTTATCTTAAGCTAAAATATTGCAATGAAATTTTGAAAATTTTAAATCACTAAAATATGCATTGCATAAAATAATTTGCTGCCTACTGAAATGGTTTCAATTATGATACTTACGTTGTTTTTTTATAGGTATATATATAAATTATTAAAAACTTTATTGAGAGTTAAGATGCAATGTGATATTATTAAAAATCTCGTGTTTAAAATTTACCTGATCAATAATTGAATAGTATAATTTTTTTATATAATACTTTATAGTCTTTGCGTAGGAGTGTATTATTATTTATTTTTGTGATAATCACTCAAGTGGCTGTTGGTCAAACTATAGTAAAAAAGGGTACATAAGTATGAATGAATCAGATGAAACTTATATTTTATTTTTTTAACAATAAAGATATACCTACAATGTACAACTCTTCAATAGGTACTCCAATATATCCCATTAAGAATACCTACATTATTATCCAAACAGTTCGTGTTTACCTCCGTCTGAGCAATACGTGTCCCGCCTTTATCACATCCGCATTTATAGCTTACGATAGCGAGTAGTACGAGTCTTATACAATAAGTAATAACAGTATTATGATATAATATGATATATATTTGTTACACTAAGTACAATACCAAAACCTATGAGCCTAACTCCCAGAAGGGTAATACGCATATTCGTAACAACTCACATTCAAAGAACTACGACAACAACATCACTCCATCCAACAATAAAATGTCTGTCAATGAAAGGTTTATAGCATCTAAAAAATCTATTAATAAACCAATGTCCAACACGCAAAATAACATATCAAACAACCAGAACTCGCAAATAACTGCAATAACACAGTGAATAACTCAAAAAGTTTTGCGAAAATCAAAAACATGAGTCAGGCAATCTTACTACCTATTATTGAAGATATTAAGCAAATCGATTTCGTTATCACCATCAGCAAACTTATGAAGCCGTCCAATATAATTTCGGCTTCCCACATATTTAATGACAGCTTTTGTATTTTTCTTGCCAGCCACACATTAGCTGAAAACATCGCTAGATTATATCAAAATATCCTGATAAATAGGGCTCGGATGTTGTTGCACTAAAAGTGTTATAAAATTGATTGCATTATTGCTGTGAAAAAAAACCCAAATTGCACTTAAAAATTGCAATAAAAAAATATTTTGTATCAAAAAAAAAAAAAATGTATTAACAAAATTTTTTTTGAAATGGATTAAGTCATTTTATTAAGTAATATTATAAAGTTTTATTAGATAGGTTTTAAACGAGTAGATAATAAAAAAGATTCAAATTCAAATTCTCGTCAGTTGTCATTAAAAATCTGGTAAATTTTGTGGTCTTCTTATTTTTTCACATATCTAGAAATAATTTTATCAAAATGTAAAACTTTTTATTTAAACTATTTTTGATTTCTTTTTTTTAAATAACCTTACCTTACCTTGAATGTTATTGCAATGTATAATCTAACAAAAAAAAGTGAAAACATAAAAAAAATATATAAAATTGTGTTAAAAATGACGACAATCAACAAAATTGAAATAAAATTGAAAAAATGTCAAAAAGTTGCACTTAAAATGTTTATATATTAATTGGTACTCGTTTGAAAAAAAATTATTACTTACTTAGCAATGAATCCGAACAATAGAAAAAAAAATTGCAAATGCAATAACATCTGAGCCCTACTGATAAACGTACACACAATTACTATTAGGAAAATAATTAATCCATTAAAACATATCATTCTGTCTAATGTTTACCCCAGTATCCCACACAACACAATTAGCACAGTATTAAATGAGATGGGCATCCACACCACTTTAAATATACCAGTTCTCAAAGAAGGTTTAACACAAGTGAACTTGCACACATAACTAGTTGTGGGAGACAAATATATTATATAAGCCCTGAATACTAAGCCAAACTCACTCTTTCTCTAGTAATCAATCTAGACGACACTAACTTTYGGATATTTCTTACTGATGACACCTAGCCACACTGATGTCATGGGAAACGAATGAACGGACAAACTAGCGAAAGAGGCCATTGAATCAGCAGATGCAATCCAAAGCCAAATGTATCAGTAGAAAAGAATAAGTAATCATAAATAGGCTCAGAATAGGTCATACCAGGTTAACTCACGGTTTTTTTTATGAAAAAAGAAGACYAAATATGCCCAACCTGCAAATTCCTTCTGACGGTCAAACACATATTAACAGAATGTAGGAAGTACGAAACTCAACATAAAAAATACAGTTTAACCGACCATTTATAGGAAAATCTAACCTCCGTAACTACTACTTATAAATTATATATTTATATTTTTGCTACTGAATTTAATTTAAAAAAATATTATTGTTACATATTTTATTATTGTTTATTAAAAAAAATTAAGTTTAAAAAACAATCCRAATTCATCAGCGTTGTATACATCRTYAGGAKCAYAATCACGCABTAATGAAGGCMACACGTTATTTTKCCATGAAGCTATATCATCATTATTAACAGATTTAGCCTCACCTGAAATTTGCYAGTACACAATACCATGCCTACTCCAAAATCTATCCAGCCAGCCAKTCGAACCACCAAATTCTGTTAAATTGAGACGTGCGGCAATCTCCATAACCTTTTCTGTGATTACGCCTCCATTTATCAGGTAATTTATCTGCGAGCTTGTTGAAACCACTYCAATCAAACATTTTCCAACTCTTCATACTTCCCGTGTTTTAATTTTTGTCGTTTGCTGCTACCTAACAAGCTGCTTTGTTCTATTTAACGTCTGTTTTTCAATAAAGTACTTTAAGAAGAAGGGAGGTATCCCCAGTTCGTTAGCAATATCCTTTTGTTTTTTTTCTCAGTCAATCCTTCATCGTACTTCTTCAAAATGTTGAGCTTGTCCGAAATCGATAGCGCTTTACGTTTTATACCACTAGTCATAACGAAATGATGGTTATACACATACGAACGAACAGCAGTTACCAAATCTCATCATACGATGAAATACAGTAAAACTGTTATAATAAGTAATGATAAAATAGGTATAACGATAAAGTTTTAATCTCATGTAATTATTTAATGTAGCCAATGGGCCCAGTCGCCGAGGCAGTTATTCATCAATAAAAAAAAAAGATTATTAACTAAAACCCCAACCTAACATTGAAGAATGAAGGGATGACAATTATTCTATGATATTGTTTATTAATGTTATCATGCTTCGTTATGTCAGCTTAATATTCAATTATTGATTATTGATTTGTGGTTGATATGTAGAATTATTTATTTTTAGGTTTCTCAAAAACGTAGTAGTAAATAAATTGTCTACCTAGTAGTTCTAAAAGTAAAAAATCCATAATTTGATCCTTTTTGTACTCTTAACAATTAAATATCTAACATAGTAATACATATCATAGTATAACACAACTATATTTTTTCATTGCAAAAAAATTATTTTAATCATTAAAAACACRATTATTTCGTAAGCAGAAGATATAAAACATGGTGYACATTTAATAAAGAAATTTTAGACGAGAAGTGTAAAATCTTATTTTGTTTATCTTAAAATGGAGTGGATACTTTCATTATTTATATACTTTCGTATACCTACTTACTTTCCTATACTTTCGTACTCAAAAATTAAACTCCGTAGATACAAACGTGAAACAGAAAGGATATTTGATAAATTATAGGTAAATTTTAAGATTATTTTTAAGGAAGTTTCAATTTTAATATTGGACTAAAAGACAAAATCTGGTGTTTGCTTGACTTTGATATGTACCTATGTCSCAAATCAGATGTTGGTCTATTAAGGTTACATTTTAATWAAAAGACAATATTTAAGTTTTCTATTAGTTTTACTCATAACGGGAAAATAGCATTCATGATATAATAATTTCTCACATAGGTACTTAGTATTTATGTATTTAGGTAGAATATGGTTTGACCTAAATAATAATTAATTAAAAAATAGTTTAATAAGGAAGTTAATAACTTAACCCAGTTTAAATCAAATTAGCCTATAATTAATGATATAGAAAATACTTACTAAGAAATTTATTTTATTTTTTTGTTGATAAAAAAAAAGGTGGTAATGATCATTATAGTTACAATTTTTTATATATATATATTTAGATGTACAATTTGATATTAAAAAAAATATATAAAATAACGTGGTGGTGCCCGTGTTGGGTCCGAGGGCTGCTCCTGAGATGTTGAATAAGTCGAGATTGCTGATTTTTTCTGTGTATTGTTGGGATTCTGTAATAAATTATGCGGTTGAATAAGAGTTCATTTTCACAATAACTGCACGTTCGATTCTCTTCTTTTGTTATGAGATATTCATATGCAATATGGGTKTGGCCGATGTGGAATCTATTTAATATCATCCTATCTCTG